CATTAGAATCCCTCTTCTTTCGTCTGGTCTTCTCCATGTTGTTAAATTCTAGCGTCTGAGTTGTTTTTCTTAGAGAGGCTCTCTATCCAGCTACCTATCAAGCTGCCATCTTCAGAACTCTGAGCTAAACTTTTGAACAAATGGATTTAGATGTGTACATAGTGTTCCACTCCACAACATCAGAATACACATTCTTCTCAGCTTCACATAGGTTCTCCAAAAGAGACTGTACTAACTTGGGGCTGGGGATTTAGCTCAGCCACATAAGCGCCTGCCTTGCAAGCAGGCAGTCGTGAGTTCGATCCCCGGTACCGATAAAAAGGAAAAAGAAAAAAAAAAAGAGAGAGAGAGAGAGAGACTATGTACTAGCTCATAGAATGTGCTTAAGTAATTGCAAAGGAATTGAAATTATCCTGTGCACATTATCACATCATAGTGCAGTGGAATTGGAAATCAATGGCAAAAGTAACCAGAGAACTTCATAAATCCATGGAAATTAAATAACACCCTCTAGAACACCCAGTGGGTCACAGATGAAATTAAAGAAGAAATTCAGAAGTTTCTGCTATTAAACAATAATGTCTACACAATATACCGAACTTACGGACACAATGAAAGCAGTCCTATGAGTCAAAACCCTTATTAGGAAAAGAGCAAACTAAAATAACCTGGTGTCAAAGCTCAAGCTCCTAGATAAAAAAGAGCAGGTCATGCCCAAAGCTCATACAAGGGAGGAAATTGTAAAGATCGGAGCAGAAATTAGTGCCATGGAGACTAAGAAAACAATACAAATAACCAGTGAATTGAAGATTTGGTTCTTGGCAAGATTAAATCAAATTGACAAACCCTTAACCAACCTTATCATAAAAAAGAAAGACTCAGATCCAAGCAATTAGGAATGAAAAGGGTAAAATCACAACAAACTGCAGAAATCCAGAAAATCATCAATATCCACGTTAAGAAACTATACTCCAATAGTATGAAAAATAGAAACAGATTCCTAGATGTATATTAAAAATTCAAAATAAACCAGTAAATAAAATTAAAGATGTGATTAACAATCTACCAACAAAGAAAAGCCAAGGCCCTGACACTTTCACAGCTGAATCCTACAAAATATTTAGGGAAGATCTAACACCACTATTTCTCAAACTCTTTAAAATTGAAAGGGAAGCAGTACTCCGAGATTGATTCCTGGAAGCAAAACATTATCCTGATACCCAAACCAGCAAAGTATCCTACCAAAAAAGGGAACTATAAGCCAGTCCTTTAATGAATATAAATGAAAAAATCTTCAGTAAGATAATCAGCAAGCAGAATACTGCAAATCATTACAGATTATATACCATGACCAAGTAGAATTCATGCCAGGGATGCAAGAATGATTCAACATATACAAATCAATAAATGTAATATATCAACTGCAAAGAACAAAAAAAAATTCGATAAATTACCATGCATGATAACCATAGAAATTTGAAAGAGTCTTTATCTCAATCTAGTGAAAGTCTTCTGTGACAAACCAACACCAGTGTCATACTAAAATGGACAAAAACAAAGATTTCATCTGGAACAAGACAAGGATGGCCACTGTTATCACTTACTAAGTATAATGTTGGAAACATTTGCCAGAGCAATTAGACAAGGCAAAGAAATGAAAAGAATAAAGATAGGAAAGGAAGCAGTTAAATTTTCATTATACACAGATGACAATACTCTACATAGAAGACCTTAAAAACTCCACCAAAAGACTTCTAGATTCAATAAACAAATTTCAATAGGTAGCTGACTACAAAGTCAACACTCAAAAATCAGTAGCCTGTAAACAAATAACAAACTCACTGCTGAGAGAGAAATTAGGGAAAGCACATCTTTCGCACTGACATAAAAAAAAAAAATACTTAGGAATCTCTGTACCAAAGGAAGTAAAAGACCTTTACAGTGAAAATGACAGTTTTCCTGAAAACAAAGATTGAAGAGGATATGGAAAGTTATCCCTTGCTCTTGGGTAGGAAGAACCAAGAGTGAAAATGACCACACTTCCAAAATGTTACACAGATTCAGTGCAATCCCAATCAAAGTTTCATCAATGTATGTCACAAAATTAGAGAAGATAATCCTAAAATTCATTTGGAGCTAGGAGAGACCTAGAATTACAAAGATAATTCTCTGGGCAACAGGGCTTTTGTGAGTTGAGGGCTGGTGATGCTTTGGGGACAGAGCAGATGTGAAAGGGCCGTATTGGCTTGGGTGATGCTGGGAGGGAGTAGCCTGGCAGACTAGGCTGGGTGTGCAGGTCCTGTCTGCCTTGGGGCTGGGGAGGCTGTTGCTGTGGAGCTGGAAGGAATGGGACTTGGGGAGTGCTTGACTGGGTCTGGGAGACTATGCCCACTGTTTCTTGCTCCTTGTCTGGAATCTCAGCAAAACACTGGATATTGTCACAAGCTCAAGCACTGTCTAGGAAGTTTAGCTACTTAATGAGACCCTGTTGTAAATTTTTTTTAAAGAAAAATTTTTTGTAAAAGTTGCAGATGTAGTTTACTACAAAATGTCTTGGATTCTGTCCCAGTAACCCTAGTGTGCACGGACAGACAAGTCAAAGCTATGTGTGGTAGTGCATCCTTGTTAATTCCATCACTTGAGAGGCTCAGGCAGGATGATGTGTGTTTAAAGGCAACCTGGGCCACATAGTGAGTTCATGCCAGCCTGAACTACGCAGTGAGACTCTTGTCTCCCAATGACCAAAAGAATTTTTTGTTTTTTGTGGGGTTTTTTTGCACTAAGGATGGATATTTATTATAAGTCATGTATTTTTTTTCCTAATTGTTTCCACATGACATTCATGCTGTGGTATCTATAACATTTTTATGGGGAGTATTTGTTTTCTAGACAATCTACCGACAACCATTGATTCCTTAAAATTCAGTGTCTTACTGCTGAGCAGTAGTTCAAATAGGTAGTAATTGGGCAGGGAGTGTAGTTCAATGGTAGAATACTTTCCTAGCCTGTTCAGAGCTCTGGATTCAATCCCATCGCCAAATCAAAGTAAAATACAAAAATTCTGGGCAGCAAAGGCAAGGCAGGGGGTATCATAATCCCTGACTTGAAATTATATTACAAAGCTACTGTGATTAAAAACAACAGAAACAGCATGCTACTGGCCAAAAAACCAGACTTGAGGATCAGTGCGACAAATTAAAACATGCAGAAACAGCTCTAAACACATTCAGCCACCTTATCTTTGACAAAGGAGCCAAACACCTTCCCTGGAAGAAAGCTAACTTATTTAATAAATGGTGCTGGAATAACTGTCTTTCCACATGCTGAAGATTATTATTAGACCCATATCTTTAACCGTGTGTTAAAAGTACATTAAAAATCTAAATACTAAAACAGAAACATTACATCTGCTAGAATAGGTAAAACTCCTGGGAGACCTTGGTGTAGGCAAAGGCTTTATGAACAAAAGCCAGATCACACAGAACTGTCACAAGAATCAACAACTGGTATCTTACCTAAACAGCTTTTGCACAGCAGGGAAAACTGCTGAGTGAAGAGCGCAGGAAAAAAAATTTTTTTGCCAGCCTTTCCTCAGACAACAGGCTACTGTGTAGACTATATAAAGAACTAAAATAACCAGACCCCCATATTTAAAGACCCAACCCAAAAATGGGCATTTGAGATGAATAGACACTTCTCAGATGAAGAAGTAGAAATGGCAAATAAGCTGGGCAGGGTGCATGCCTGTAATCCCAGCACAAGTGTAGACTGGTGCAACCACTGTGGAAATCAGTGTGGAGACTCCTAAAAGAACTAGGTTCGATCCCCGGTACCGATAAAAAGGAAAAAGACCAAAAAAAAAAAAAAAACTAGGACTAAAGGTCCCATTCGACCCAGCTCTTCCCCTTCGTGTCTTCCCAAAAGAATTAAAAGCATTGTATCACAGCAATCTGTGCACACCCATGTATATAGTGGCACAGTTTGTAATAATCTTGGGAACAGCCCAGATGCCCATCAAAGTGAGGAATGGATAAAGAAGACATGGGGTTTGTTTGTTTTTCTACATTGGAGAAATACTCCATTTGCTGCTAGAAAGAGGATAGGCTTGAGATACTTCTAGCTAAATGGCTGCACCTTAAGACCATACTCCTTTAAGTGAAATAAATCAGACACACATGTAAATACTTCATTGTCTCTGGTGTGAGAAATCACAAGTGTAAATAAGGATAAAGATGTATAATAGGTATTGGGAATGGGAATAAAATGTTCAAATGAGAAGGGGAAAGGAATGAAGGAAAAAGAATAGAATGAAAACAGGATCGGGGGCTGGAGATTCAGCTCAGCGGCATAAGCGCCTGCCTTGCAAGCAGGCAGTCGTGAGTTCGATCCCTGGTACCGATAAAGGAAAAAGACAAAAAGAAAACAGGATCGGGCTGGGGATTTTGCTCAGTGGCATAAGCGCCTGCCTTGCAAGCAGGCAGTCGTGAGTTCGATCCCTGGTACCGATAAAGGAAAAAGACAAAAAGAAAACAGGATCGGGCTGGGGATTTTGCTCAGTGGCATAAGCGCCTGCCTTGCAAGCAGGCAGTCCTAATAATCCCTGGTACCGATAAAAACAAACAGCTTTTGTGAATGAGGAAAGAGTAGAAGGTCAAGGAAGTGGAAATAAGATACATCGTGTACAACTTCCATATGATAATGTGCCAATAAAAATGTAGCAATAAAATAAAATTTAAAACAATTGGGGGGAATCTCTGGTTTATTTTATAAATGGTTTCAAACTGAGCCCTGGGAGTGAGGTGCAGTCCTGAAATCCAGGCACTTGAGGCTGAGGCATGACAATCAATGCTACAGAGTGAGACCCTGTCTTGAAAAACAAAAACACTATGCATTCTTGGTTTTAGCAATAGGATTAGTGTACTGACCACCCAGGAGCTGTGTTACAGTGCGTGAGGTCACCTAGAAGGGTGCCTAATATTTCTTTGTGCTTTGCCCTTTAGGCCGGTGTTGAGGATGAAGCAAGTGATGGGGAAAAGGAGCTGTACAGTGAGGACAGTGATGACAGCCTGGATTAGCCCTGGGAGCTGCCCCACCGTGCACCGTCTCCACAGGCTTCCTTTCCACTTAGTATGCAAAGCTTCCTGTTCTGCCTCCAGAGGGTTGTTGATTACTGCCCGAGTCCTGCAAGCTGTGCTGACAGCGTGCAAAGTTACTTTTTCTAAAATGCAGGCTTATGCAAGTTTTACAAATAAATTTTTTTCTGCTCTTTGCCTCGGCTACTTCATTCCATCCTTTTGATTTTCTACATTATTCAAGTGTAGGTAGAATTGAAATTTATGCAAGTGGCATACAATTGATGCAGTGGCAACTGCTGGCAAGTTGGCTCTCCTGCTCAAAACTAGGATCCCTACTGTAAGGCTTTGTCTGAGTTACCTTCTTGTTGCTGAGACAAAGTACTTACCAGCCAAAGTTAAGGGAGGAAAGGTTTATTCAACCCACAGTGCACGGAAGTTTCACTCTGTGCTCCCCCAGCTCCAGGGCAGGAGCCTCGTGGCAGAAGGGGGTGGTGGCAGCAGCCCGCCTTCCCTCTCCTGCAAGCCTGTTGACTGTGCCACCCACACCCAGGGTGGGACTTCCCTTAATTCACATTCAACCCCTAACCCAGCCACCCTGGAAATCCACACCTGTGAGTACATGAGGCTTTGGGGCACATCGAGACACAAGCCGTCATAGGATCATTCTCGCCTAAGACAAGAACATCTTCATGAGTTTTTTGAGAAATGGCTTGAACTTTTCTCAGTGCCCCAGCCAGAAACATTTTGCCTGCCTTTTTAATTTTCTGGTTATTAGTGTAAAGCAAATGAAGAGATCTTCCAACCTATGATATGTTTATTTCTACATTATTTTGAGTTATGATAAGACTACTGTATAATTAGTTGTAATTAATTAGAGCATTATGAGTATGCATCAGCTAAAATGAACTGCTCTCCTGTATTCTGCCAGAAGGCCAGTTTTAGTGCTGCTACCAAGTTCTTTCTTGGCAGGTGATAACAATCGTTTTAATATTTGTCAGCATAGTGTCAGGCAGGGTGATGCAGTAAGTTCTTAACTATGACAGCAGAAGTACAGACAGTACAGAAAGAAAAAAAAAAAAGCATAAGGGGCTGGGGATTTAGTTTAGCAGCATAGGCATCCGCCTTGCAAGCATGCAGTCGTGAGTTCAATCCCCAGTACAAAAGAAAAAACAAAAAACCAATAAACTGGATGCCATCAAAATTAAATACTTTTGGGGCTGGGGATTTAGTGGCATAAGCACCTGCCTTGCAAGCATGTGGTCGTGAGTTTGATCCCTGGTACTGGTAAAAATACCAAAAAAAATTATAAAATTAAATACTTTTGCACATCAAAGCACACTCAAAAAAATACTAGACTTGGACATGGTGGCACATACCTATAATCCTGGGAGGCTGAGGCAGGAAGATTACTGAGCTTGAGGCCAGCCTGGGCTACTGAATGAGTTCAAGGCTAGCCTAAACCACAAAGTGAGACCCTGTCTCAAATTCAAAAAAAAGACCAAAGAAATACATCTTTTTTTCTTGACTCTCTCTTTTCTCCCCAATTCAATGTCTTTGGTGTCTAAATCAGTTCACATTAGACTCACTGATTTATATGGTTTAATGGTTTTCATCACATTTACAAGTTAGTACTACTTTGACTCTTGTTGTTCAGCTCTACAATGGATGTGTTCCTCCTTCCTCTGTCACTGGCCCTCTTCTTGGAGAGAAGAAAGGGGCTCCTCTTGTCACTTTTTGACACAAAGCGACACAGTAAGGGCAGCATCGCCTTGGCTTGTGTAGACAGGTTGACACGAGCTTGGTTTCATCCCAGAGAGCAGGTGCTCAGGCTCAGGTGCAGCAGGACCCCCTACCTGGAGTGCTGCAGGGCAAAGGTGCACTTCTTGTAGGTTGCATACAGCAAGAGAATGGAGCGCAGCATCTGTTTGCACATTGTCACTGTCATCTGAATCTGAGGCTCCTTGAGTCCAGTGGGCCACTGATGCTCCCTGCTGATAATCTTGCAGAAGGCCGACTTCTCAGAAACTCTGAAGGTCCCGGTCCACTTGGGAGGCTGAGCCGTGATGACCCTGCCAAAGACAGAATCCACTCCACTGAGGCGGACAGGCTGAGGTTTCCTGACAAGTCCTTTCTTGTGGATCATGCTTCGGAGCTCTGATGTGTGATAGGGTAGCTTGGGACTCACTCCATTGTCCAGGAATGGGCTGTCAAGGACGAGCGTGACCTCTTGGAAACACAGCTGAACTTCCAGGTCGGAAGGGGTGTGTGGGAAGCCGGGGGAGGCCCTGAAGGGGTGCTTGGAGGATGGGGTGGGTGTCGTGTGCCGCAGCCATTGGAAGCTCTCGTCCAGTGGAGTCCACGGTGACCAGAGCTGGTACCCTGCCATTGAGAGTCCTAGACAGAGGAATGAGACATGGTGTTGCTCTGGTGTGCTTTTGGCGAGCACAAGCATGCAAGTTCACAACTCTGCCTCAGTACTGACTTAGACACTTTACTGTCCCCATGAGTAGATTCCAGGAGGTAGGAGGGTATTAGTAATTTTATAAAGGACAGTAAGGATGGTAGCAAATATTGAATGTGGTAACTACAGTGTGTACAAAACTTCCATTAAACCTTTTCACAGGCCTCTCAAGGGAAGTGTTAACTCATTAAAGAGAAGTCATGGAATGTCCCTGTCCGTGGTTGTGTGCTGTGCTGTGTTGGTGACTGCTAATGACAGAAACCTTGCCTGCAAGGGGAGAGAGGTTGCTGAGAAAGGCATGTCTTCCACAGGTGTGACTGATACCCTCCACTGGACATCAGTAGTTCTCAAAGTGTGATCCCTAGGCCAGCAGCAGCAGTGCCACTTGGGAACATGACAGAAAGGCAGATTCTGGGCCTCACCTCACATTTAAGAGGAAAAAATTCTCAGGGCCAAGAATCTGCTTAAACAAACCTTCCGGGGATTTGGTGCATCTTACAGTTGGAGAATTTTCAGCTGCTTTCCTGTCTTTCACCATGGAGGCAATCTCCTTGCCCCTAACAGCCCCTGTATTTACTTTGTGTTTTGTGTTGTTTTTTGGTCTTGTTTTGTTATACAAGAAAACAGCGCAGGCTGAGCACAGAATCTCTCAAGTGCCCCTCAGAGGAGTTGCCCCAGCCGGCAGGGTGGCTGCTTTTCAGGACTGTGGCCTGATAGTGACAGAACACCTGGCAGCTTTCACAAGGCCTTGGGTTTGATCCCCAGCATCACATACACCCAAACTTTGGGTCTCTTCTAGGTGTGGGTCTGTTTTTTCATCTGTGGGACATCAACAGTTTAAGACCTTCACTTTCTTTTCTTTGAAGAAAGAGGGCTGGGAGGGTATTGCTAACTCAAATCATTTATCCAAGTACAATTTGGACTTTCTGTCATTTCGTTTTTTAAAATTAATAATTAATTTTTGGAACTAGGAATCAAATTGAGGACCTGCTGCTCATCAGGCAGGTGCTGTGTTACCAAACTACACCCCTATCTTCCATCACCCTATTTAAAATTGCCAATATATAACGGTTTTACTCATTTTAGGAAAAGCGAATAGTTTTGGAGCTGGTTAATGACAGAATCTGTGCCTTTTTTTTTTTTTTTTTTGAGAGCTTATTTGGGCAGAGGAGCACAGCTACTCGTATACCCTTGACCTAAGAAAATGGGCCTCCACTATAGGATAGTCGTCCTCTGCCACTGAGCGCACAGCTTTGTAGGGGGACAGTGAGGGAAGAAAGGACACAGCCCCGCCAGTCAGATCAGCCAGATCAACACTGACGATCAGCGGGGCGACAGATGTTGCAGCCAGATTGGCCTCACATCCTTTTCTTGTGTGTGTTTTAGTTTGTTTGTTTTGGTTTGTTGTTGCTTTCTTGGAGACAGGATCTTGCTCTGCAGTTAAGGCTGGCCTTGAACTCACTGTGTAGTCCAAGTGTATTTCTTTTCCCTTCTCACTGCTACAAAGCACTGTGTAGCAGTGCAGATCTGATCTCATCCCATAACTGCCAACATAGTTTGTTAGTTTATGTTTGATCCTTCATGTGTGTCATACTCAGGCCTCATGGGTGCTAGGCAGCTCTCTGTCACTGACATACACCCTTATCCCTTTTAAATTTCTGAGGTGAGTTCTCACTAATTTGCCTCAGTTGAGCTGAGTGTGCTGGTGCAAACCTGTAATTTCTGCCACTCAGGTGGGAAGCCGAGGCAGGAGGGTCACAAATTTGAGCCCAGCTTGGACAACTTTGTGATAGCCTGTCTCAGAAGAGAGTTGACTGGGGATGTAGCTCACGGAGCACCCTGAGATCAGCCCTCAGTGCTGTCAAATAAGTCCAGCCTGTTAAGGTTCTTGTAGAACCAATGTGGAATGAGCAGCTACTGACCCAATCCTTCCACTCCTTCACACAGGGCTAGTGGTGCTGCCCCATCCCCAGCACTGGACATCACCTCGTCCATTCCAGGAGGCGAGACTTGGCTACTCTGTCCTTGGAACTCTAGTATCTTCCAGACAGGCAACACCCGGTTCTAACTTAAAGGACTTCCCCATCAGACTTCCTCCCATTCCAAGGAATCCGCCCGGATTTCCCCACCTGGAAAAGGTGACGGCAGCGCCAGAGTACAGCTAAGGTCCTTGTGAACCTTCAGCAGAAGCGGAGGTCCGGCGCGCGTGGACAGGGGCCTGCTCCGGGTCCCTCGCTCTGGCCTAGCAGAGGCGGTGGAGGGAGCCCGGGCCGGGCCCAGCATCAGGGCGGGGCTCACCTGGTGAACTCCCCTCAGTCCAGAGTGGCCACATCCTTCTTAACCGGGTGCCTGGCAACCGCCTTTGTGACCCAGCCAGGGTCCTTGGAGCTAGGCCAGCCAGGGCCATGGGTCTGTGGCCTCCCCAGTCCTCCTGGAAACACCCAGCAAGCAGCTTCCGGACTTGGCTTTGGCTCTCAAGGCACAACTCTCTGCCCACCCACTACACCTGCGCACCAGGATCGGACCCCCATATGAGTTCTGGGACTGGAGCCAGTGTTAAAATTAGCACCTGGGAGACTGAAGCAGGAGGATCCTCATGAGCTCGAGACCAGCCTGGGCTACAAAGTGAGCTCAAGTTCAGCCTGAACTGCAGAGCGAGACCCTGTCTCAAAAAGACCAAATAAATAAAATAAATTAGCATTTACTCTAAACCTTGCTGGTACTTGGGCAGAGGGACCCACAGTTCCGACGGTGTTATTGTATTCGGTGTTTCCACGGGTCTGGCTTGGTGGTGCATGCCTGCAATCCCAGCACTTGGGAGGCTAAGGCAGGAGATCACTATGAATTCGAGGCCAGCCTGGGATACAAAGTGAGTTCAAGGCCAGCCTGAACTATGTAGTGAAACCCTGTCTCGAAAAGAAAAAAAAGGTTCCAGGGGAAGCAGAAGTTATTAATGCCTGCCTGTTAAGAGAACAAGCTAGATACACACACCCTTCACTCTGGCGAGCACCTCTCCATTTCCCATTCACTACCAGTCAAGACAACAGGAAAGATATGCCTGTCTTTCTTTTACTTCCTCACTGAAAATTTCCTGCTCTTCTGTTAAATCTAATAACAACCGTGTCGAGAGTTGGGCGTGGTGGCTCAGGCCTCTAATCCCAGCCCTCGGGAGGCTGAGGTGGGAGGATGGTTGCGAGTTCGAGACCAGCCTGGGCTACAAAGTGAGCTCAAGGCCAGCCTGAACTGTATAGCGAGACCCTGTCTCAAAAAGGACAAAAAAAAAAAAAAAAAAAAAAAGAATTGTGTCCCATATTACAAGGCTGAAAATGTGATGTGATAACTTTGTAAACTCACATCAGTTGTTCTGGAAAGCTGAGGGTGGGGCACAAGGTTCACCCAGACGCCTTTGCTGCCCACAGGACCTGGCTGGGAAGGCACCTGTCAGAACATATCACGGATTCAAGAAGCTAGGGAAGGCCACCTGCTCCTTCCTGACACCCAGAATTGCTTTTGCGTTTTGTAAACTGCAAACAGCACCAGTGAGAGAGATCATCTTCAGTCAGCCCATTGGGTGAAAATGACAGAACCTGAGGCTCTAAAAATGAGCTCAGGCTGAGATCCTGAACTGGAAGGCAGGGGCTGGAGGACTGGTCCAGGGCACATCATGTGTGCATGCGTGTCCCACGGAATAAGTGAAGCAGGGGTGTATTTGGAGAAGAATCAAAAAACAGAGCAAGCAAAGGACAACGAAGAGGTGTAAATTATTTGGGGACTTTGTTTGTTTGTTTTGTTTTTTGAGATAAGGTCTTACTATATAGTCCAGGCTGGCCTTCAGTTCACTATGTAGCCCAGGCTCACTTGAAACTCAATCTTCCCGCCTCAGCCTCCTGAATGCTGAGATTACAGGCATGTTCCACCATGTCCAGCTGAGGTGCAAAGGATTTTGAATGAAACTTTTTCCCCAGGTTATTTTTACTTTTAGAGAGACTACTGTTAAAAATCAAACATAATAGTTCTTGTTGCATAGTAGCGTTTTATTTTTTGAATTAAAGTCCCCAAATCAGAGCTGTATGATTACAGTTGGATAGAGAGGCTGTAGTCCTCCTATGGTGGTGACCTATACAGTCCGGCATAGTCTGTGGCAGCTCTAAGGGACATGTTCCAGTCTGGGTTTCACTATTTATTTATTTTTGGTACCAGGATCAAATTCATGATCCCTGGCTTTTTTTTTTTTTTTTTGGTACCAGCTATCTTGCTCAGAACCTTGAGCTTGCCGGGCAGTTGCTGTGCTACTGAACTATATCCTTGTCCCAGCTCAGCTTTTAAATGGCACAATGGAGCACTTGCTTCCGTGTCCCAGGGCAATGCCCCAGTGATTGAATGGCTATGTTTTGTTTTGTTTTTTTCTTCAGTTCATCATGCTTTTTGTTGTCAGGCTGGCAAGGGGATTCCTGATGCCTGTCCTTGAGGGCCAGGAATCTAGTCCAGATACAGAAGACCACTGTGAAAGAAGCAGCAGAATGTATTGCAGATGAAAGTGTGCAAGCCAGGCATGGTGGTGCACACCTGTAACCCCAGCACTCGAGAGGCCGGAAGATCACAGTTAGTTCCAGGCAATCTGGAGTTCAAATTCAGCCTGGACTACAAAAAAGAAACAGTGCAAGGTGAAACTACATTCCCTTACTCAAGTTGCAGTTTAAACTTCACATCATTGTTGTTAGGATGTTCTGGCCCATGAAATCCTCTTCAGTTTGTCCCCACTGGCCACTTTTTTTTTTTTTTTTGTACTGAGGATCAGGACCTCGTGCTTGGCAGGCAAGCATTATGCTGCTGAACTGTATCCTGGGCTCCCTATCAACTTCTCTTTGCATGCTTTCAAATGTCAGTGAGCTAAGGAAAAGCTCCCAGCCGAGGTTACCTGTGCCAGATCAGGTGAGCCTTTCCCAGGTGCGCGGCCAGGGCTGCCCCTGGGAATGCTGGTCTTGACATCTCTGGGTGTGTTCCTCAGGCAAGATCTCCTGCAGCTCCATCCTGTGTAGAACGTCCACCTGGGCTTGTTTTATTAGTGTTACATGTTCCTTCCATGCCTCACAGCCTACTAGTATTTTTCTACCTGATATTGTCCTGTGACTAAAGTGTTCATAATTAAATGCATTAATATTTACACGATTGCCTTTGGTAGCTGTGCTGTTGTTTAGCCATTCCTCAGCTGTTGTCATGATGTAAGGAGAGCACTGTTGTGACTAAAGTCAAGTGTGCTTTTTTCCCCACTGGTTTTAATGGAATGATTAGGTCTAAAGGTTTGAAATTTTTTGTTGTTCTTTGTACTGATTTACATATTTCTTTCTCAAAGGATTGTAGTAGTTTATGTAGTTACCAACTCTTTATGATGCTACGAACTTTGCCTCAGCCTCTCCAACACTGGGTATTTAACAGCCGGGTGTGGTAGCACGCACGTGTAATCTCAGCACTCTGGGAGGCTGAGGCAGGAGGAAGGTAAATTAGAGCTCAGTCAGGGCAATTTAGCGTGACGGCTTAAAAAAAAGAAAGGAAAATATTTTGTTTCCTGGTAAATATGAAGTGGGATATCATACCGTGTCGGTAAAGGGCATTATTAAATGACTTATGGGACCAGGGTTTAGCTCAGCAGCGTAAGCGCCTGCCTGGCAAGCACGAGGTCGTGAGTTCCATCCCCAGTACCAAAAAAAGTGACTTGTATTTACTAGGGCTTAACAGTCCCCTTATTATTTTATTGCTGAGGTTTAACCGTCCCTGTATTATTTTATTGCTGACACAGATTGCGCAAAAAGCTTGGAGCAGACGAAGGCAAGAAGAGCATCGGCGCCCCCTATCGACCGCAGAGGCCCGTGACCGGCGTGGGCCTGCGGGTCGCTGCAGCAGTGCAGGCTTCCGTTTTGCCGGGCGTAGGAGACAAGCAAGGCGCAGGCATGAACTCGATACTGCGCAGGCGCATCGCCGTTGCAGCGCCTGCGCGGGCGCCGCCGACTCGGTGTGGGCGGGGAGCAGGCGCACTGGTGACCTGTGCGCTCAGCGCGCCTGCGCAGTCAGTCTTCCCCAGGCGGCCGCCATGGCTGGACAGGAGGACCCGGTGCAGCGGGAGATCCACCAGGACTGGGCGAACAGGGAATACATTGAGCTCATCACCAGCAGCATTAAGAAGATCGCGGACTTTCTCAACTCGTTCGGTCAGGGGCGAACAGGAACGGGGCGGGGCGGGGCGGGGCGGGGGAGGCGGGGATGAGAGACTCGGCAGCGCTGAACGCCTTGCGCCGCGCTGTGCTCCTGCCTCCGCTCCACCTTCTCGCTGCGCGATCTGGCCGCGGGGCCGGTCGAGCTGTGGCTTCGTCGCTGTGGCAACCGCAGCCCCGCGAATCGGCAGTTCCCCCCCGCGTCTCTGGCGGCCCGGTGCGGCCGGGGAGTGCCGCTCCCCTTCGGGGTTCCCCGGCCTTCTTTGTGCCGCCTGGTTCCAGCCCCCACCTCGTCCACAGGGTGCCGGCGCGGCGGTGTCGCCCCCCTAACAGCTCCCGGTCTCTTTCCGGACGAGATCGAAACCCTCTCGCGCCGCCCCCCCCCCTTCCCCCGTCCCCAGTGATGGCAGGAGCTGAGGCGAGAGGTTAACGGTTCGGGTCTTGGACCCTAGACGGACTGCATCCCTCGCATCTGATTTGTGTTAGGTGTCTGTCTGTGCTGGCCGGCTCCTCGAAGCTAACACGGGGAAGTGCTTTCAGTGGAGGCTGCTTTACCGAAAGCTGCCCTAGCAAAGTCTTTTCGTGGCAGTCTTAAATTCTTCTGCACTGGACAGCAAGCCTGTAATACTTGTACCTCACGTTCTCCAAGTGTCCCCCCCCCCCATGTAGCAGTGACCGGCCTATGACAGCTGCTGAGGAAACACAGATGCCATGCAAAAATCACAGGATTGCTGTGGCCCATTGTACCCACTGGAGTTCTGTACCTGAACAATAGCCCCTAGCAACCACAGGGCAGTTTTTTTTTTTTTTTTTTTCTTTTGTACCGGGGATTAAACTCAACGTTTTAAATATCTTAAGAGTGGCTACTATGGCCATTTATTTTTTATTTCATGTTTTTGGGAGTTGAACACAGGACCTCATGCTTTTGGGGCAAGTGCTGTACTGCTGAGCTAAATCTCAGGCCCATTCTTCTTCTTTCCTTTTCTTTTTTCGTTTTTTTTTTTTTTTGTTTTTTGTTTTTTTGAGACAGGGTCTTGCTATGCAGTGCATGCTGGCCTTGGGCTCACTTTGTAGCCCAGACTGGTCTTAAACTTGCAGACGATCCTCCTGCCTCAGCCTCTCGAATGCTAGGATTACAAGGGTGCAATACCATGCCTGACTTAGGCTCATTTATTCTTATTTATTCCTCCTTTTTTTTTTTTTGCCTTTTTGTGGTACTGAGGACTGAACCTAGGGCCTTGTTCTACCACTGAGCTGCATTCTCACCCTCACCTTCTTCCTGTTTTTGTTTTGTTCTGTTGTCTATTTTGAAACAGGCTGTGGCTAAGTTGCCTAGACTGGCTTTAAATTTGGAATTCTCCTGCTTCAGTCTCTGAGTAGCTAGGTTACAGATGTGTGGTCAGATGCTCAGCTCATCTGTTCCTCTTACATAGCGTCTCACACCTGAGTGGGCTATTAAGCGTGTTGTATTTGTTGGTTGAGTACAAAAACAGGTTTGACTTTTGTTTGATACAGAGCCTCACTGTGTAGTTAGGCTGGCCTAGAACTCACTGCATAGCCCAGGTTGGTCTGGAACTCTTGATAATCTTCCTGCCTCAGCCTCCTGAGTGCTGGGACTACAGGCATGTGCCATAACGCTTGGTTGGCTCTTCCAGAAACTATGCAGAAGAGTGGTTTGAATTGTTAGCAGCCCTCACAGGAAGTGGTCCTGTGTGGAAGGAAAGGGAGGCACTGAGATATTGATGTGCACTGTAGGGGTGGGTGTCAGAGGGAGCAGCCCCAGCTGGGGGAAAACAAGATCTGGAGGGAGAGGATGTGTGGCCCAGAGCCAGGCCTGACTCACTCAAGATCTAGAGCTTGCCTTGCCACATGTGGGAGGCCATGGTTTAAGCTCCAAGCACTGTGGAAAATTAAAAATAGAGGCAAAGAATAGTGGTTTCCAACCAAGAGTGACAACACTTAGGTATCAGGATTCATATAGGGGTGATGAGAACCTTCTGAAATTAGTTTGTGGTGCTGGTTGCAAAGCTTTGGAAATATACTGAGAACCACTGAATTGCATACTTCATTAAGGTAAACTGTATGTATGTAAATTAGGTATCTTTTTTTGGTCTTTTTCCTTTTTATCGGTACTGGGGATCGAACTCACGACTGCCTGCTTGCAAGTCAGGTGCTTATGCCACTGAGCTAAATCCCCAGACCTTAAATTAGGTATCTTTAAAGCTATATTTTTAAAAGGAGGAATGAAAAGTAGCAGTAAAAAGCCAGGCGTGGTGGTTCATGCCTGTAATCCCAGCACTCGCGATGCTGAGGTGGGAGGATTGTTGTGAGTTTGAGACCAGCCTGGGCTACAAAGTGAGCTCAAGGCCAGCCTGAACTGCATAGCAAGACCCTGTCTCAAAAAAGACCAAAGAAAAGAAAAGTAGCAGTAAAAATGGAGGATGTGCTAACCATGTATGGTAACCTATACCTATAATCCTAACATGTGGGAGGCTGAGGCAGGAGGGTTGCTTTCGTTTCACAGCCAGCCTGAACTACAAAATGAAACCGTGTCTCAAAACACCAAAAGAGAAGAGATACGAATGTGGTAAAGAATAACATGGAAACAAGAATGATTAAAAAGTGGAAGAATTTGAGTCTTAACAAAGTTTAAATGGTGTGAGGAGTAAATTATGGCTCCGATGTAGGTACTCTAATTTTCAATAGTATTTTAATTCTTTATAGATATGTTGTATTTTATTAAACCATTCTTCTAGTAATGAGCATTTGTTTTTGTTTCTCCACCATCATAATAGTAAAAGTAGTGAGTGTCTATGAGTTAAATCAGTTTATGTATTTTTGTGCTGCTGGGTCAGGACCCCTGACCTCCAGCGTGCTATACGTTAACACTTCCTAGAAAGGGAGATGAAGTACATGGATAATTTACAGATTAGAAGTTTAGTTGTGTTTCAATAAATTCAGAAAAGGAAGAATCGTGTTCGTTTGGCAAGACATCTTAGAAATACAATTTGAACCGAGTCTGTTTTTTATTAGTAGCTCTTTGCAGAACATGATGGGTACATGACTGTGGGGACCTGGTCTGTGCGCAGGATACATCTTCCTTGCTTCTCACCCCCTTCCCCGCCTGTCCCTTGTCCCTCTGACTCTGCCTTCCCATTTACAGAAGCTCCCTTTCTAGTTTCTTTTTCTGAAGGATAAATGTGAAGGATTTGCCGGTAAAAGGATGCGTCTCATAACCACACTGTTGAGTGAACTGCATCAGACACACAGCCTTAAATATGGCCTGAGATTCCTCTCATATGACAAACTCAAAATATAAACAAAGAGCAAAGTAAACGCTAGATAATAGGCAAGAGGGAGATCTTTTCCACAGGGGAAGGGGAACGAGAGTGAGAGCCAGCCTTCCTGGAGAGTTGAGATGGGAGGTGTCAGATGAAAGCTGACCACTGGTGCAGAACAGCTAGCAGTGCGCCTCGGGAGCACCAAGTCAGGAGTGTGGAGACTGCTGTAGAGGCTGGAGAGTCTGGACACGGAGGTGAAGGTCACGGAGATGACCGAACAGTGTCGGGAGAGGTCCTGGGAAAGAGTTACACTCGCATGCCCTTTTTTCTTGTGTGTGAGGAATAGTTGGAAAAGTGAGACAGTAGTTTTGGTTAGAGATGTGCACAGAGAAGATATTTTGAGGTTGCATTTTTTGAGAAGTGAAGAGGGACTGAAGGTGGAAGAGGAGGAGAAATGCAGGCTCCGTGGGGTGCTGGGTGTCTTTGTTTTTTCTAGTTCTGAGAGGCTCATGCAAACAGTGACATGTTCTCCTAGACAGCAGTGACCATGTGGCATCCCAGAGTTGGCAGCCTCTGCCACCCTCCTCCCCTTCCCCTCAATTTCTGCTGCCTTTTTGTTTGTTTGAGACAAGGTTTCAGTGTGTAGTTCAGGCTGGCCTTGAACTTATGTAGTATGTAGCCGAGGCTGCTGAGATTACAGGTGTGCATCACCACAGCTGGCTCTGCTGCCTGTTAACACTAGACAATCCTAGTTTATGCTGGGTCATCCCAAAATGTGTTGGTTTTGTGATGTGCAAAAGCAGACTGCATTCCATAGAAACCATGCTTAACTTTTTCTTCCTGTTCTCAAGGCTGGAGTTCAACCCAGGACCTTGTATGTGTGCCAGGCTAGTGCTGTGCCATGTAGCTGTGACCTGAGCCGCGGCCATACTCTGCTTTGTGCTTTGTCTCTTCTTGGGCTGGCAGTGTGTGCCACCATGGCGGTGAACAGTTACTGAGCCATGAGGTCCAATGAGTTAGGCAGTGCCACTGCATTTTCACTGAAATGGCTCTAATTCTTATTTATTTAGAGACAGGGACTCACTCTGCTCCAGGCTGATCTTGAACTTGGGCGCCCTCTCCCTCAGCCTCCTGTATTAGCATTACAGGCATGTGCCATCAAGCCTGGTGCTTTTTTTGTATGAGGGGGAAGATCTTGTTATGTTATACAGGCTGAGCTTGAATTTGTGATACTCACGCCTCAGCATCCCAGAATGCTGGGACCACAGGCCTACAACACCATTCTCAGCCATGTTCCCTGTCTTGAAACTGTTGCTGGTTAACAAGTGGCTATCCTTTGCTGGACGAGGTGACACAAGCCTGTAATCCTAGCACTCAGGAGGTGGAAACAGGAGAATCACTGCAAGTTCAAGGCCGGCCTGGGGTACCTAGTGAATTCAACCTGATCTACATAGCAAGAGCCTTTCTCAAAAAAAAAAAAAAAAACAAAACTAAAAGCAAAAACAAAACCAATGGTGATTTCCAGCCTAGGAGTGTTGTTTTATATTGCTGCTATAACAAATCAGCAGCTTAAACTACATTTATCATTTTGCTCTTGCGTGGGTCAGAACTTCACTTATGCCAGATGTGGTGGCACACACCTGTAATCTTAGCATTGGAGAGGCTGAGGTAGGAGGATTGCAGCAAGTTTGAGCGTAGCCTGGACTATAAAGTGAGTTCAAGGCCTGAACTTCATAGAGTGTCTCAAAAAACAAAAAAAATGCAACACTTGGCTGGTCCTGGTGTGGCGTATGTTGACTGTTTAGGAGGCTGAGAGAGGATTACACATCCATTGCCAACCAGGGTACCTTAGCAAGACCCTGTCTCAAATAAAATGTAAGGAGGGGTGTGTCCAGCTTAGTGGTAGAGCATTTGCCTCATGTGTGTGAGGCCTTGGGCCCAATCCCCAGAACCCCAGCCCAGGGGCAGACCCATAGCATTGATCACTGGGCTGTATCAGGCATCGCTTCCCTCTGGAGGCCCTGTAAGGCGACTTGTCTTTGCCCACTGGGCTGTGGGCAGAATTCCCTGTTTTGTGGTTGCAGGACAAAGCCAGGTTTCTTTGCTGGTAGTTAGCTGTGGCTGTCCCCAACCCTAAAGGACACTCATATCCAGAGGTTCATTCCCCCACTGCGAAAACCTGCCTGCTGTATGTGGCTGCTTTCCCTCTGCAGTCTCTTCTTCACTCTGACCCCTGACCCTCATCTGTTCCCACATCGACCCCAAATGGAAAATACAGGTTAGAGCCCTGCCCGTCCAGGTCCTTACTTAGCCTCAGTAAGCCTTGCAAAGCCCTTTTGCCTGGCGTTGTTTCGGGCTCTCAGAGAAGACCCGGCCATCCTAGTGTTCCCTGCTGCCTGCTCAGCAGCAGCTGGGTCTCTGAGCTGCACTGCCTTGACCCCGGTTCCCACGTGGGCTCCTCATGCTGCACACCTGGCCGCTCTCCCCCAGCACAGGGTGTGCATGTGTTTTGACACTAGTGCTGAACACCAGTCTCCTTTCACCAGATATGTCTTGCCGTTCAAGACTCGCAACGCTGAATGAGAAGCTGACAGCCCTGGAGCGGAGGATAGAATACATCGAAGCTCGGGTAAGCCCCTGCGAGCCTTGCCGGGGTGTGGGTTTCCACGCCCCTGCAGCTGTCTTCCCTGTGATTTCTCACTGCCTACAATCAAAAGGACGTTGTGCGTCTCTTAGACCCCTTTAGTTGTTTTGAATTTGTCTGAATGTGACTGTTCTTTGACAGGTGACGAAAGGCGAGACTCTCACCTAGAGCTGCACTGCCTGCTGCTGGGACTTGCTTTACAGGACACAGACCTCGCAGAGCAGGCCCTGCAGCCCCAGCTCTTCTTCTTCTCCTTCAAGAGCAACAGGGCTTTTTCTCGTGTTTTCTTTTTCCAAAGGTCCAGCCTTTGCACTCCGCCATGAGCACCTGAGAGTGTGGTGTGGCACAGTGTGGGGAGATGTCCGTGGTCTCCCGGAACAGCTTAGGCATTTACCTTGCAGTAGCACGCAGCGTTAGCATCAGTGTGTCTCAGGTGTCCAGAGCCCAGAGCCTGGCTTCCGCTAAGGCCCCTGCCTGCTCCCGACTCTCCTTCAGCTTCTGGCATTTCTGCCTTTGTCTGTGCCCGACTTTGGGGAGGGGAGGGTCCTGGCTGGTCACTCAGCAGCTGCCAGAGAACATTGCTAACCTGCCACTTTGTTCTGGAGATCCAGGCCAGTCCTCTAATTGGCTTGAAGGGACATCTTCAGAGTTTTCTGTCACTTGATCTTTTTGTGCCTCTTGTAATTCCCTAATAAATTCCTCAACTTTACCTGACTGCTGTGATTAAGGAGGGAAGAGGGGCTAGAGATGCGCTTGCCTCTGCTGCATAAGTCCTCCAGCTGTAGCTGTCCAATTTGCCAGCTAGGCCTGTGCTGGCCCTTAGCTGCGTCACTTATCCTGTAACCCACATTGAGTCAGGTGTGATGTCACAGTCTGCCCACTTCTGCTTCCACATGGCCTCACTGTAGTCCAGGGCAGACTCAAGCTGCAAAATGCCGGTTTCCCTTGCAAAGCAAATCCTGTACACGTAGTTGATCAAGAACCTAAAATTTGTCATTCTAGTGTCCAAGGCTTTCTGTAAACTTGAGGGCACCCTCCTTGTAAAACCCTTTTCCTTGTGTAGGTTACTTTTCATCCCTTAGGCTCTGCATACAAAAATTCTCCCATTCAAGATCTAGGTCAGGTCAGGCTTCTTCTGCAAAGCTCCAGCATAACGTCTCCATGCAGTGCTGCCTTCTGTCCTGTCCTGTTTTCCCATGCGCATTCTCATCCTGATGTCAATCATCCTGTGACTCAGTGGGTGTACTCTGAATACACCTGACCCCTGATCTGCAGAGAGCAAGCTGCCCGGGGATTCACATCTTTGAAGAACCTCACTCAGACCTCTGGAGGACCAAGCTAAGCATACCTACTCTTAAAATGGGAAAGTCTTCAAAATCTTGAAGTGCTGACCTGATGCCACAGTGGAACATTGCACGCCTGACCTCAGGTCATAGTAGAAATAGGCACCCTGGAAACTACATGACATTAACATAAAGCAATGTATAGTGGTGTATATGAAACGTGAATTTCACGTTCAGATCAATGTCCTATCTCCCAGACCTCATTTTTGTACAAATATTCCTAAATCTGAAAACATCTGAGATCCAGCTGTAGTGAGAACCAGCTGTAGTGTCACACACCTATAATCCCAGCATTCGGGAGACTGAGGCAGGAGGATTGCTGCAAGTTTGAGGCCAGCCTGGACTACATAGCAAGATTGAAAAAAAAGAAAAAACATACTTGAAATATTTCTGACTCCGCATTTTGCATATAAGGTACTTGTACTTCTTTATGAATAATTACAGTGGAGACAGTGGAGACGCTTGTACCATTTATCTTAGCAGGTGTTCTTTTCAGCATTATTGAGCGCTCCTATGCAGTTCTTCAGTCATGTGAGTTCGTTATTTGTATTTCCCTCCAAGATAAGGAAGTCAGTGTTAGTGTCCAAGTGTTAGTGTCCTGGTGTGCTGTTCTGCAGTCAGTTTTGCCACCTGGGTTCCTGCCATGGGTAAGGACCATAACATGAGATGGAAATAGGGGCAGAAGTGCTAGTGATATCTCCAGGCAGGAGAAGCTCTTTCTATGAGAGTGTGTGAAAATGGTTAATAATGGTTCTATTATATGGATATTAATGTTAATTTGCTGGTGTTAAAGTAATAAATGCACCAGTAAGTGATATAGTTCAGTGGTGGAGCACTTGAGTCCATCCTTAGCACAGCCAAAGGAATGAAAGAGTGCATGAATAAAGCAGGTGTGGTGGCTCACTGCTGTAATACCAGCACTCAGGAGGCTGAGACAGGAGGATTGCTGCAGGTTTGAGGCCAGTCAGCCCTGCATAGTGAGACCTTGTCTCAAAACAATAAACTGGACATGGGGTACAAACCTGTAATTCCAAGTTTCTGGGGGCTCAGGCAGGATTTTAAATTAGAGCTTAACCTGCGCAGTTGAAGAATTTAGGGAGATGATATCTCAAAGTAAAAATGGCTGGGGATGTAGCTCAGTACAGAGGCTGTGGGTTGAAACTTCAGTCCAACAAACAGTGTTTCTAAGAGTGTCCTAGAACCACATTGCTAACCTGGTTAGAAAGGGCAGCAGGTGGTGCTGAGTGCAGGGAACCAGTGACCAGCCTCCACTGGGTGCAGGAACTTCATCCTGGAATGTGCTTGCCAGGGTCCTGTGTTGTCATCCCTTTATTTTTTGGGACAGGGTCTTGCTGTATAGCCCAGGCTGACCTTCAACTTGGATCCTTCTGCCTCAGTCTCCCACCATCCCCTGCTGTCATCCCCTTTCACTAGAGTCCTAACTCTCCCGTGGGTGTTCCTATGTGCCATGTGCTTTAGGCAGTTTTCTTTCTTTAGGGCAGGGGAGAGGAAGGAAAGGAAGAGAAGGACGGCGAGGTGAGTGAGGAGACGAGCAGTTTGTTTCATTTAACCTCAGCAGCTCTAGGAGCTGGTCTCCTGTGTGGGACCTGGGAGCGTGCTGGGATGGCACCAAGACTTGCTCACTCACAGGCTGCCCTAGCTATCTCTGACTTCTGAAGGTGGTGTGGCCAGGTGGGAAACTGGTATTACCTGAAATCCAGTGCCTGTGTGTTTGTGGTGGGGGTGGTACTGGGGATTGAACCACTGAGCTACGCCCTTGCCCCCCACCCTCTTTTGTCTTTTGGAGACAGGGTCTCACTATGCTCACTGGCCTTGAGCTCACTTTGTAGCCCAGGCTGTCTCGAACTCAAAACAGTCCTCCTGCCTCAGCCTCCCAAGTGTTGGGATTACAGGGATGTGCTACCACGTCTGGTTTACATTGGCCTTTTTAAAAAAGTTATTTTTTGTTAATACATGCTTGTAGTACATAATAATTGCATTCATTGTGGGGAGTAGGTACACATAGATAATATTTTAATTCTTTTTCCCAGCTCTTTTTATTTTTTGGACAGGGTCTTGCAGAGTTGCCCAGGATGGCCTTGATCCTTGTAATCCCTTATCTTGGCCTCCTTGCCCTCTCAGCCTCTTGTGCTAGGGTTATAAGCACGTGCCATCACGCCTCCTGGCTGGCTGGTTTCTGTTCCTCTTTGGTGCCTGGGGTTGAGCCCAAGGCCTCTGGGTTGCCAAATAGAAGCTCAGCCACTGAGCTGCACTTTGTTCTGCTGTCATTCACTTGATAAAGGTGGCTCCCAGCTCTCCTTGCTGTGTCTGGAAATACTGTGTGTATTGATTGTCTAGGTTCATTTCTGCTGGCTCACTCTTAGAATGTGCAGCTTGTATTTTCTTTCTTTTTTTTTTTTTTTGTCTTTTTCATTTTTATTGGTACCGGGGATCGAACTCACGACCGCCTGCTTGCAAGGCAGGTGCTTATGCCGCTGAGCTAAACCCCCAGCCCCGCAGGTTGTATTTTCTTTTGCAACACTGGGAATTAAAACCAGGGCTTGGTGCATGCCAGGCAAATGTTTTACCACTGAGGTGGACTCCTAGCCACTGTATAATTATTTTCTGAAAGTCTTGCTAAAGAATTTAATCCATTCTAGCCCTTAACCTCTTCTAGTAGTCTATGAACTAGAAGCAACTACATCCACCTCTCAAAGGCCTTTTTTGGTTGGGCTATAGGAACTTTTATTATTTTTAATTATTTTGAGAGGGTCTTGCTATGTAGTTCAGGTTGGCCTTGAAGTCATGGTGATTTTCCTGCCTCAGCCTCCTGAGTGCTGGGATTACAGGCATGTACCACCTTGTATGGCTTAAAAAAATTTTTTTTAAATGGCTGTAAATGTAGCTTGGTATGAAGGCCCTGGGTTCCATTACCAAAATAAATAGTAAAACACTGGCTTGGAGAATATATATATATATGGATATACATATTAGAAGTCAGCACCTAATCAAGAAATGGACAAACGAGGAGTCTGGCAGTATACACCTGTGATCTCAGCTACTCTGAAGCTGGGGCAGAGGAGTACAAAATTCAGTGCCAGCCTGTACATTCGCACAGCCCTGTCTGAGACAGGAAGGACTGGGGTGGAGCTCAGTGGAAGAGCAGCTGCTCAGCATACCTAAGTCCTGGCTTCAGTCTCATTCAGGAAAGGGGGACAGCAGGTCTGCAGTGATGTTTTGCAGTCCACACAAAATGGCGAACAAGAAACCATCACCAGAGTGGCGTTGAGCTAGAGAGTGGGAGGTGCGTACATGAGTGCCAGGTGCACAGTACCCCAAGGCGGGAGGATGCCAATGGAGGCCAGCGGGACACCCTAGGGAGCCTCCGTCTCAAGCAGGACTGGGGTCAGGACGGTCAGTCACAGTGCCTTGGCTTCTGTTTCCAGTGCTTCAGGAAAAACAAATAACCTGATTTTAAAATGGGCAAAGACATCAACTAGTGAATGGATAAAGCTGTGAGGTTTTTTTAAATCAGCAGAGTACTACTCTGCCATGAAGGTGGACAAGCTTGAGGTATTTGTAGCTACATGGATGCACCTCCTTGAGACCATTCTGTTAAGTGAAATAAATCAGACACGTGTAAATACAACATTGTTTCTCTGTTATGAGAAAGTGTAAATAAGGACCAAAATTTATAATAGATGTGAAACAGGAGGAAAATGGTCAAATGGGGAGGGAACAAAGGAGGAAAGGGAAGGAAGGAAAAGTTTTAAAAATCAGAAAAGAAAAAAAAAAATCAGAGAAGAAGCTGGGGATTTAGCTCAGCGGCAGAGTCACCTGCTCAGCAAGAGTGAGGTTGTGAGTTCGATGCCTGGTACCAAAAAAAAAAAAAAAATTAGAAAAGAGGTAAAAATGGAGACAAAGCTTGTAGAGGGGAGGCGCGGGGGGGGGGGGGGTTGAAGGGAGGGCAGGGGAAGGGGGAAAAAGTTATGTACAGGTGCAGATTCTCTGATGGATCTGATGATTATGTATATCTAAGATGTACTGATAAGAGCTAGGGACATAGCTCAGTTGCAGAAGTGCCTGCCAGGCAAGCACAAGGTCCTGTGTGCAATTCCTGGTACCCCCCCCCCACTAAATAAAATTACCAATAAAATCTGGTTAAAACTACAATAAAGTAAAATGGTCCAAGGAGTCAGGTGTGGTGGTGCACACCTGTAATCCTAGAACACAGACAGGCTGAGGTGACTGCAGGGTCAGATCAGCCTGAACAACACTTAGATTTGCTAGCCTGAGGCAGAAGGATCACTGTGAGTCCAAGACCAGCCTGGGCTACAAAGTGAGCTCAAGGCCAGCCTGAACTGCA